GGTATCCCAACATTGTGTTAAAAAATCATGCAAAAAAAAAAGAAAAGAAATACCAACTAACCACTGAATGAGATTAATACTAACCCAAGAAAGGCACCAAAAAATACTGGTAAATTAATTGGAATTGGAAACAGATAGGCATACCGTGCTTGAAATGAGATCTAAAATATAGAAACAAATATACACACAAATTATGTAGAACTGGTCATGCAACAAATACTACACTATTGCCAAGTGGCAGTAAAAAAATGGTAAAATTAGTTTAAAACTAGAAAACTGACCTCTGTGAGAAGCAAAACCAATTTTGAAGCTTTTTTTAATATGCACCTTGACATAAAACCATATTTCAGTGTGAGAGTGATTGGTTTTCTAGTTTTATACTAAAACCCTGGGTTATTTGTGCAGTGTCATACAATCAATCATATACTTTCTACATACCAAAAGAATGTTACGAAAAAGGTAATCAGGTCTATTTGAGGAAACTGTGAAAATGAGATCTGAAAATAAAAAATTGTTTTTGTTAGCAAATCGAACTCAGAACTAATTATAATGTTTGATATTTTTTGATAATCAACAAGGTCAATTACTTGTATGAAATGGTGACCAGATTTGGCAGACTGCAAAAACTGTGCAGACAAAAACCAATGTTTTCCCTGTATTTCATTAGTTATAAAAACTAGTTCGAACTTAATCAAAATGAAATTATTTTTATGTCTTCAATTGAATTTGATTAAAAAGCACTCATGGTTCACTGGATTTCAGCCTATTTTAAAAAAATTTAGGGCAGCAAAGCTGTCAAATATACAGACATTCATAAAAAAACGATGACTACTGTGCACAAAATATTACATATTGCTTAACACTATAATTTTCCATTAAAGCTGTTATTCAAACTTGTAATTAACTTGTAATTAACTGCTTTAAATCACTCCAGTATGTTTTAGGATAGAAAGAGACATGATGAAAAGTGCACAGCGACAAAGATGACAGACAACCATGATGGCTGTATGTACTGACACACTGTGTCTGTACATAGAAAAATATATAGCCAATTTCACCAGGATATATATTTTGGACAACTGTCAAGAAATAAATACCAAATCATAATCAACAGGTCAGCGAATATCATCATTTTATTATAATGATAAAACAAGCAAGCATATTTGATTTGGTTCATGTTGAAGCATAAAAAATGCATAATGCCAGAAGCTACAGTATAAATAAGTAAAAAAAAAAAATTACACAGTTCAAGTGACCATAATTCATACATTTTCTCATTTTTATTAAGCCATGCAGCAACATTATTGGAATTTGGGGCATCTTGGAAACTTTTTGAGGAATTCATTAAGTGCATGTGCAACCATGGCCTGGCCACACTCTTTTCAGTTTTAAATGTTAACATTATTACAAATACTTAAAAATCGTTTAAGTCCCCCCCCCCCCCCCCTCCAAAAAAAAAGTATTGTGTTTCTCGTAAGGAAAAACTTTAAAATGGTGCAGTGGTGGTTTTCCCCTTCTTCTTTTTTCTAATGTATATTGTGTCTAGTTCCCATAATTCAGGTATCATGCCTGGAATGTTTTGCAAAGTGGTTTCTCAATTTAACTTTTTCATAGTGAAAAATGTATAAAAGATATTTCTAAAAAGATGTAGACTTATTTCAGCATCCCAAAGACCCAGGAAAAATCTCATTATACTGGTTTAATGTTAGAGCTCGGATATTATTTAAAACTTAATTTTAAGGCAAGGAATATTTTATCAATTTGCCTCATCCGATTCGCAACTGAACTTAAATAAACATTTAATTCCAAATTTTAACTTGAGATCACTGTATCAATAATTACTGGTACCATGTGCAGCTAGATTAAAAACCTGGCTCTCCCAACATGGAAATTTGAGCTCAAACTACAGTCAAAAACTTTCTAAATGAGGTGCGCTGGCCTGGTGTCCAATGAATCTGTCAGCTACGTATTGGGGTACTGCATCTCCGAGGCTCTGAATGTCACAGTGAAATTTCTAAAGTTCATTTTATCATTATGGTTTTAAAAAATCTGCAGCACACATAAAAGTTTTTATCAATCTCCAACCACTAGTGGTTTTTCATTTTCTAACTAACTTCGCACAAAAGACAGTCTCTGACCAAAAACAAAAGAAGAGTGGTACATAAAGTTTCATGTGACATGCACCACGACGAGAAACATAATACCCTTTTTTGGCCTTAAATAAATACATAAAACAACATTCATTTTACTCAATTCTCTAAATTTTATCTTTTTTGTTAATACTTCTCAAACAACAGTACTAGTAAACTTGAAACATAAAGCAACATCACTTACCTGTAACCACATAGGTGTTGTGAAATTATACACATATACATAGAATGTGGTGTTTGTGCCTTCACCAAAATTGTAATCCTTGTGTAGAAATTTTGTCTTGTATGGATAATTATGCAAACAACTATGTAGTTCTACCCTAGTAGTCTCTGGTTTTCCGTCTGAAAGTGAAAATTCAAATTCCAGGAAAGGCTCATGAGAAAAATAAACTAACATGTCATTTATATTAAGTACTACAAATGGTTTAGTCATGTTGCTGGGTGTATCTACTCTTAAAGGTTATGAAATGAATTGTGCCTGCCTCTACACAAGCAAGGTTAAGTAACAATGCCATCAACGACTTGATGCAAAACTCACCAACAGCTACTGTAATATTCATCAATGCTGGCTTTGAACAATTGATCATAAACTCTAAATCTCGATCATTCTGAAAAACAATAAATGTACTGGACTCAACTTCATCTGAGATTGATATCTTGCAAATTAATGCATTTTAACTTAAAATATTTTTAATCCAACTTTCACCAGACTATGTCTTTTTTTTAAGATAATTTTTTTAAATAAATGATTTATTTACTTTAACAATGTTAATGAAAATTATAAGCTTTTTTTTTTTTTTAAGAAATTAATTTTCCAATTTATTCAAAACAGATGCACTCACAGTTCCAGGTTTATTCATAAAATTGATCTGAGTGAAGTATCGGTCACCTTCCTTGGAAAGATTAAAGGTGAATTGGTAGTCTGTGGGCAGTTCATCTAAAATAAGGAACTAACAATGTGAAACAAGAAAGCATCATAAAAATCTATCATCTTTATATGGTTAATGACACATTTTTCAAAGTAAACTGTTAATCAAAATATGGCAAATAGAGAATGAGTACAAGTTATTAATTGTAATTTTTTAATCACAAGTTGTGACTTACAAAAGCATGTCCCAGTCTTTGGATTGCCATAGTAACGGTTGTCCTTGTCACATCTGCATCAATAACAATAGCTAGAGTTAACTGCATATAACAGCAAAATGCAAAATGATTTTCACAGTTTTCTTAATGTTTGACAAAAAAGGAATCTACTTCTATAATAAATTCACACACTAACTGGTGTCATCTTCAACCATGTTTTCAGAAAAAAACCTGGTGCAAAGTTAGCAAATATACAGACACCAAACAGCTAAAAAAAAATTGCAACAATTCTTACTAAAAAGACTTTGCAAAAATAATAAATTCAAAGAAACAGATTCATTAACAACTTGGCAAGATAGATGCTTTTTGCATGATCTCAGAATATCTTAGCTTTTACAAATTTTCCTTTAAATAATCTCATGGTATTCTGACCAACTATCAAAATGTATCATTGTATCTGCATACTTTTTTTTCAGTTGTTATCAGTAAAGTAGTCTGATTAAAAAAAAAAAAGGTTGGCGCATGCCAAATGATAATTTACAGTTAGAACAATATTCACAAAATTAAAGTTAATCTTTAAACCTCTTTCCAGGCTCAAACTATATCAGCAATTTATTAATATTTAATGTCTGTTCTGAAGCAGTACTTTCAACTGTTTGATAACTGTACGTGTCAGAACTACTTAACTGGTCTGATATGAAATAGTTGGCATGTGCACCACTATGGATTACACACGTCACAGAATCCATATCACAGCAGTGCTTGCAGATGCCAAACAACATTCCCGATTTGTATCAATCACCGGTTTCATTAGTCCAAATGAGTATTATTAAGGGCTGAGCTGAGTTGACCTTGATATTTCAATACATTTCATTTATCATTTTTCATTATTTCATGATCAGCAAACCATCCTACACTCTCAGTCTGTATATGAAAATTTTTAAAGAAAATTAAATCTATATGCTGAATCTAATTTAACTTACACTTCACAAAAATTTCCTCGTACTCCTCTGGTGCGGCAGTGGCACATCCCTGTGTCATGTTCACAGAAGTCTGCCTGACCATTGCATTCACATGCTAAAGGAAAGAACAGACAATATTCCAGGGAGATCAACAAGCAGTGATTAACTGTTCAATGCACAGGTGGCAAATTGGCATCAAAATTCTTGACGTAGATGTTGAAATAAGTTCAAAGATTTGATAATCCATTATATTGTAAAAGTTCTTTTGTCACAAAATAACCGCTTAATATACTCATACATAATTAATATATTCTATAGTTAGTGCTGATGTCATTGGGTGTTGTGTCACAAGAAGTGATGTCAGTAGACTGCAGATTATCACTATCTACTACAACAACTGTGAATATCTTAAAGCATTAGTTTGTGATAAAGGAACCTTTAAAATCTATGGTAAATTGAAAATGAAATTGTTCTCATCTATCACCTCTCCAAGATTTTATGCATTACTTTTGGTTTGTCTTTATATGCTATACTAAAACCTCATCCAATGTATTAAAATATTTTTGGAAATTACATACGTTTGCAGATCCCTCCATTGGTGGCTTCACCAAAATACCCTGGTGCACATATTTCACACTGGGAACCTGAAACAATCCACACACATAACAGTTAGAGGATGTACGAGCTCATGTGTCAGTGTGTATGTGCACACATGCGCATGCATATGAGGAACACACAAATACCACATCTACAAGTTTTTCATCTATACTACTTTGCACTACACATTACCAAAATGTATTTTTAAAATAAATGAAATGCAACAGTAAGATGGCATTATTGATAAATCATACATTGCTCTACACTACACATTGAAAATTAACTTTTTGTTTTTAATGTTTTTTGTTATGATGTTATGAGCCCCTAATTACAGATTTTCATTAAAAAAAAGACATTATTTTGCTTTATCAACAATAAAATCTGAACTAGGACTAGCAGGGTTTTGGAGTAAATAATGGTATCTTTAAATTGGCATTAAAACGGTGTTCGTGGGTGCTCAGGTAAAGGAGAATTTGCTATAATTTGGTTACCATTACGAGCCATTTTTGTCATAAAATGGGATAAATAGCACCATATACATCCAGCAGTTTTTTCTGGTCAACTTGTTTAAAACAAATTAATGTATTACATGAACTATAAATAATTCTGCACCATATTGTAGTAGTAGGTATACTTCAGTCAAAATTTTAAATTTCACCATTTTAATTTTAATATCATATTCTAACAGGGGACCAATAACACTTATAGTGTGTAAAAATTGACTGGAATCTTACCTTGTGTATTTTGAGTGCATTTCTTGCAGATGGCTGTATTGTTGTAACATTCACTATGGCCATTGCACTGACATACTAAAAGGAAGAGTATATTATATATATATAACAAATTATGTGGCTTGGAGAGGGTTCAACACTGGTGAGAGCCTAATATAAACAAACCATATAAAACAAGTGAAGTGACAGGATGACAGTCACAAATATATAATATTGCCCATCATCAGGGTTTTTTTCCCAAATGAGTATATATACCAGTACATAATGAAGAATGCAGTATCATCATGTTACTTTGCATTATGGTGACATTACAACAGAAATATGTTTATCTGGCTCATTCTTTTTTGAGGGCATGATTTATACTTTTCAACTTTACACAGGTTCCAAATATTTCAAGTTTTAAAAATAACCCACATAATGGGCATAAATATTAGACAATTTTGGAGTTCCAACTAAATCCTAGGTCTGCAATTTCTCTTCTTACCTATAAATCACATTTAAGTCAAGGTACTCATGAATACTGAAATAAAGCTCATTCTGTACCTTGCACTTAATATAGACAAACACACACAATCACACACACACAGGTACTCACATGGACAACTATAGAAGTACCAACTTGGTGCTGGACACAAGGCTGGTTTGGTCAGTACAATGGAGCCATTTCTGACCACTGGTCCCTGGTTGTCCCCCTCCATACAGTGGCCTATCCCTGTGTTAGAGCCATCATCACACCAGCCACACAGTGGATTAGACTGGCACTGTTCACAAGTCCTTAGCTCTGAACATTTGGTCGCTGATACACAAAGATAAATATGCTGTGCTAATTTCTTTCATTCTTGTATGCATAAGGATATTATTTCTAAATGTCCCACGTGGGGAGGGGTTAAAAGAACCCCTTTTTGCCAGGAAAGGTACATGAAGGTTTCATGGTAAAAGGTCCACTTTTACAGAAAAAGAACCCACTTTTGTAACTGCTGGCTACAGGCCTGATAGCCCATTCATTATGTTACATAAATAATTCACATGGGAAGTTAATATATTAGCTTTGTGTACATGGCCCTTGGTCTTGCTTACATGAAATCACCTCATCAAAAATGGACATCAGTTAAAAAACAAACCTGCACATCTTTTCTCTTCAGTGGTCCACTCCAGGCACTGTCCATAAGGGAAAGACGCCACATAGGAATTAGAGTCCACACAGCGGTTCTCACTACCACACCACATACACTTGGCTGAGGTACAGTTGCCACAGTCATTAAAGCTGGAGCAGGGAGGATTGCAGCGTTGTTGGTAATCCACCTCTCCCTCTGCAAGCACTGCCTGGTCTGTGGTGCCATCTGGAGTAGGAACAGAATAGTTTGGGATAATATGAAACATTATTGAAGGTAATTACATACGAAGTATAAGAAATTCAATTTTTTTTCACACTGCATTTTATCACTTGGTACTAAATGTATTTTCCCAAAGAAATTAGTCACATTTGGTCCGCTTTAAAAAAACATCCCTGTAGAATATTTAACTATTTTATATTAATAATCAATTTCATATCCATCAGAAAAAAAACCTATGACAGTTTATGACACAATGTTAAATTTATGAAAAACATTTGAAGTTAACATAAAATATAATTATTGTATAAACACCTAATGCAAAATACCACTTAAAATGGACTGAATGACCATTTCTCCACTGAATGACCCCCTTTTTCAAAATATATGAAGATGCACCATTTGACCCCAAACTAGAGCAGCTGAAAACTGATCCCATATATTTATACCCACCTTACTATATAAAATGCTGTAGCTCTTAGGTTTCTATATACAAGCAAACACACTTTTTCACACAGAAAATCAAAATTTTAACCCATAAGACCTTCAAAAAGCAAGTCAAATACAAAGTTAGATTTTCAATCTCCACACTGTCAAATGGCCTCTGTTACAGCAGGAACTTTTCCCAGATTTTTTTAAGTTAACAAAAATTTTGACATGTGTCCACTTTGACTAGTGACACGCACACAAAGGGACCTCCTGATCCCAAAATCTAGCAGATTCAAGATAAGATCATAAGTGACCTTATATCATCGGATGGGCTCATTGGTCTGTTGAGTTAACGAACTAGCAGGAACTGGGAATTGTTTCTAACGACATGCATCGGATATGCACATTTTAGCCTAGGTACAATTCAAATCTGCTTCAGGGTTGAAACATAATTAACAAGGCAGTCCTGCATTTCAGTATACTATGAACATTTAACCATGGCCAGAGTAAGGAGCAAGACCAGTTTGAATCACAGTCACCTATAAATCCAGACACCCTCCAGGCCTTATAAATGGATTAGGCATTTTCTAACTGGAGCATCAGATCCAGACCACAAATGCCCAAATTAACNTACGGGGGCTCTTACCGTCTAGGAGGAGAAGCAGTAACGGTAGCCGTCCGGCGGAGCCGGCGGAGCCGGCGGAACGATCCGGACGGGACCGAAACCATGTGTACCGCCAGCGCTAACGCTGGTGGTACAATAATGACTCCAACCATGAATTAATTACCCCAACATAAAATTATTTGCCACAAGCATGGCGTTTCATTATACAAACTGTTTATTCACCTATCTACCTGTACAGTACCTTCCCTATGTGCCAAAGATTGTCGAGATGCATTGCTGCCGTATTTATACACAAATGTATACAGCTAAAGACCCGGAAGAAAGCTGGCTAAATTGTTTGTGCAATAAAATGCTAAGCCTGTGGTATATAATTGGATGTGTTAAGGTAGTTAATTTGTGCATTTATGCTCCCAAATCTAAGATTCATGTTAGAAGATGGCAATTGTTGTTTATGAGGCCTGCCCTCCCTCTTGTGGTCTTTAACCCTTGAGATTCCAGCTTTAAGACTTGGAGGTTTACACCTTCCACCACTTTTCTACTGCCTTATCTGGTTCTCTGCTATTTAATAATGAGTCAAATGAAATGCAGATCAACTTTCAGAAGATAGCCTTCAGCCTGTCCATTCCCTCCTTGGCAGTGTTGTAACTTAAGTGACAGTGACTCTAACAAAGACAACAGATGCAGGTAATGGCTAAATGTCCACACAACAATGCCACAAAAAATCTAGGTGACTTTCAATGCTTTTATAAAAAAATATTAATCAGAAGCAAAGAACATTCAGAATGCTCTAAAATCATGCTTATGACAGGAGACAAAAAACAACAATTTGTTGGGGAGTGTTTTAGACAGGGAAATACCAAAATAAATGGCACTTAAGAAATACCAAAATAAATGGCACTTAAGACAACTAGAAACCCAACTGATCTAATTTCGAGCAAGTCAACATACAGACCAGGCTATAAAAAGGCATTATGATAAGAAACTCAGAGGCAGGTGCAACAAACACATAACTAACAGCTATGACGAAGCATGACCAATATCATGCACTCACCCACAGAGCGAAGGTATGTTATACAACGTTTGTCACTTTTGTACCAGCCACAATAAGTTTGCATGTGACAAGCTTGGCAATTGTGTAACTTGTCACACTCACTGCTGTACTTGGCCTTGCATTGACCAAGCGGTGACACTAGCTGCAGGTGGATAAAAAGAAATGGTGTGGAATTTAAAATTAGTTGTGAAGGCACTCTGTAATCTGCACAAAAGTTTGACTCAGGTTTTAAAGCACATCATTGGTGGACATGTTCCCAACAGCACCAATTTTTATTGGTTTACACAGGTCAACAGAGAGGTTCACATTTTTAGCAAATGCTAGATTTGCAGCCAAAGACTAAAGAAATCGTGAAAATGAACTATCAACCAATATATAAAACAGTACAGAGATACCACTGATGGCATATAAATCCTGAATCATACTTTCTCTTCCAAATGTTATTTTTACACAGTCCTACCATGAAAACAGTCTTTAGTACTATCTCGCCAAGTGCAATTGGCTGAGGCCAGAAAGCATGCTGCACAATTGTGTAGATAGGGACACTCTGCACCTTGGTCATGTGATGAACATGTATCCTGGAGACCATTAAACTGGAACATAAGAATCAGGTCATCCACAACATACATACCAAATATACTTATTGTGTCATTCTTAACTCCATCTAAAAGGGCAACAAAACTCTTGCCACTTACTGTAAAGCAGCCCTATAATGTTTGAACATACATACATATATAAAGAAAATATCAAACTGTTTAAATGTATCCATTTATGATCAACATAAAAATAGCTTTATAGAATCTGTTTTCAAAAGTTGCCAAATAAAATATACTTTTTCATTTTCAGTACAATGAAAAAAGGGTTCTGGGAATAATGAAGTGAACGTCACACAATAAAAAAACTTTTAAAATCTGATCATACCTATTTTCAAATTGATCCCATCTTTTGTTTAACAAAAACTTCTAGTAAAATTTAAATTAAACAAAAAACCAATTTGATAACTATGTTGTGGACATTGTAAAAACACATGCAAATGGAAAATAATACAAAAAAAAAAATACTTAATTACTTAATTTACTTGGAAAAAAAAAAAACAAAACAAAAATACATTGCTTTTCGAACTCAACCCGTTTTCTTTGCTGAACAAATGCAGTAACACATACATACACACAATTTTTGTGTCTGATTGCAAAATCATTACATTAACTGATATTTTCTATGTGGTGCTTGTAATTTTAAAAAAAATCATAAAACATATATATATATAAACTTACAGAACTACAGTTATCCTTGGACTTGCAATGATGCCCACACCAAGTGCAGTTGTATGTATTCTCTTGACAGCTTGGACAGGAAGTGAAATTTTCACAATAGCTCTTCCCAATGTCTGCAATTATTCAGTAAATGGTTACGGGTCAAAATACAAAATGTAACTTATTTTGCAATGACTATTAAACTTCATGTATATCTGGCAAAAATTTTCCCTTTTATAAATCAGAAAAATCACCCCTGTGTGAAAGTGTTTCTGAAGTTACCATAAATTGAGATGAAAGACATTTTTTTTATAAAACAGGTACATTAAATACAGTACATTAAATATCCTCTTCCTAAATGTTATATGTTGCTCACTTATCAATTATTGAAAACATAATAGATGCTCTTCCTGTATTGTCTTGCCAAAATGAATTTTTAGTTGTCTCCACATATTTGAAAATCCCCCATGGTCATATTTATTTAATTTCCCAATTCAGACTTTACAAAAAAAAAAAAAAACTCTTTCAATAAAATTTATCGGAAGTGCACCTAGCAGTGTTATTTTCTTGTCACCATTCTCTGATATCCCTTACCAGCTTTCAACATATGTTTTTTACATGGTACAGGGCTGCAATTCAAAACACCCCCACCATTTTCTTGAATAAAAACGAGGCAATGCTCATGACGACAGATGTCATTTCTGACCACTGATTAAAACTTAAGTAGTAAAAATTCCATGGAGAGCAGATTTAACAAAATGCCTGTCAAAATCTTGATCTATCTATCTATCTATACATACATACCTTTTCTTTTGCACCAAGGCTCAACCCTCGTCCCGGGCATTTTCTCTGCATCTTCTAGTGAATAACATTTGTCCAACCAAGTACATCGCAAGCCCTGGTGAGTGGAAATGCAGTCTTCTTTGGTTCCATACTTTTCACATTTTCCTGAAAAGAATCAACATATCACTTATGTGAACAAAATATAATTTAAGGTTAGTAATTCATTGTAACAAAGAAAAAAAAAAAGATAAAGTACATTCATATACAGGCCATTCCATAAGCTTTCCCCTTCAAAACATCACACCCCCCCCTGTATTTTTCTTCTTTCAATGTCACACACATAAAAAAGTAAAAAAGAATTCAATATTATTTCACTAAAGTAAATTTGTTGAAATAAAATCTTCAATAATTGTTGCAGAAAGGAAAATACTTCATATTTAAGCACAATTATATTTTTAGTCAATGACTACGAGATGATATACACTGAAACTTATAAAGCAATTTTAATTGTATTCATAAATGCTTCAACTTAAAAAATACACCAAAATTTGTATATAAACTTGTCATACAGAACAATGGCACATTTTACCTGGTGTGTACTGAAACATATCTCCTAACATAAGTCCATTAAAGCCACCATAGATGAACATTTTCCTGAAATATAAAAATAATGTAGACTCAGAACACTTAAAATCATACAAAAAAAATCTACTAGGATTTAAGAATCAGTGCTATACTACAAGTCAACTTTGCACTATAAAACCTTTGACAGCTGAATACAACTTACTGATCATACACTTCTGCTGAATGTCCAAATCTTGCGAGATCTCCTCTCACCCTGGGCTCAGGTAAGGTGTACCACTGATCACAACCTGAAATATCAGATTTTGCTAGGTTAAGACATCTCAATATTTCAGAGCATTTGTATGTCCATAATTTCAACTAAGATATCAATTTAACTTCCATTAAAAATAACTACCGTAACTTAAGAATAAAAATCTGAACCCCATGTCAGCCACCAGAACAAAAAGAAGATCAATTGCTTGAATCTTACCAAGGTCATATCCCAAAAAATTAAGGGAATGACATTTTGCCCCATGACTGGTAGAAGTATCATTGTGTGTATTTCCACCAAACACCAACATTAGTCCACTGATGACAACTGCTGAATGAAGGTAGCGCCTCTGGCCACTGCTGTGTAAAATCACCCTGAAGGAAGCATTGCACAGAATAATTCGATGTAAGACTAGGCTACTGCATTTTTACATTTTGATCTATTACTGGACTTCGAATGCCCAAGTCTAGTCATGTCCTGTGACAGGTTTGAAAAGACATAGTTTGCAAGTGCATACAGAGTGAACTCATCTGGAATTTTGCATCTGATATTTTAACTTATATGAGCTCAACAGATAACTAAAATCTTAGTACTAATATATTTATTAATGACCAACTTTGGGAAATGATGCCACAAAGGAAACTCCATAAATCACACAAATTGTAAGCAATATATCAATAGTAAGTATGGTATGTCTTTCACATACCAACATAAATGAAATATTAAAGAAAAGGAACAGCTACACAAAAACTGTACTATATATAGGGACTTACCATTTGTTTGTGGTTGTTTCAAAGCTATATAATTCATCTGATATCTTGTATGTGGATACTGCAGTGGAGTGGTAGCCACCATGAACATAGATCTTATCTTTATGGTAAACACTTGTATGGCCATAACCTCCCTTTACAATTGCCCCTGATGTCTGGACAAGCTGACAGGATCCAATGACTAAGTAAAACCAAGAGGATCAAGTTTATCTCAATTATGCCAGCATTTATATGGCAAATCAATACAAGCTGTGCTGTTACATTAATTTTAGTCAAAATTCAAATTAGTGTTATTTGTATTTAAACATCTTAAAGTTTTCTTAAATAGAATATGCAACATATGAGCTGTATAAATAAATACTTCACAGACTAGTGTAGGATACAAAACAGATGGCCAAAAAGCATTTATCTCTACATTTATTGCTTATCAAATACTAAGAGCAAAATATAACATTTTGAAAATTATTAAGTAAGAAAATATACATTGCACGTCTACTATACATACCCACTGATACAAGACAAAATTAAGAAAGCATTCACCAATAATAAATGATCACTTCAGTGAAGAAACTCCAAAAACAAATCCATCTTCCTAGCTGCTAGACAAACATTTTTTTTTCTGAGACATTTTCATAGCAGTCAGCATATACCTTATGCCTTTCAAAAAAGAAAAAGTACCTACCTATATCACATTTCTGCACAGTATTCAAGTAACCAAAGACAGGACTGTGTCCAAATATGACTATCATTTCACCATTCACGTAGTGGGCAGTGTGTCCAACAACCTGAAGTCCAGTCTGGTTGACCAGCAACCAGTCTTTTGTATTTATATTGAACTTCCACAGTTCATTAGTCACTTGCTTTTTGCCCACCAGTCCTCCATACATATATATGTCATTCTGAAACAAGTAAGAATGTGGTGAAAATTAAATGCCAAAATACCTGTTCTTCAACTGAATTTGTCAGTATGCTATGTGTGAGATAATGCACTGTCACCCAAGCCATTTATAAATGTTCATGGCACATATTGCCAGTGTATTTATAAACAAACATATAAAAAGTAAGTACTTTCCTTTACCCATAACACAGTCCCTCTCGGCTTTGCCACAACCTCATGGTGCTATGCTGTTCAGGGACATATGTCACAAAAGAAAATGTTACACGTTTCCAACCTAAAACTTCCAATTTTAAATAGAATACGCTCATAACACCATACACAGGGTGATGTCAAATAATGGCCTTTCCACATTTACAAGTTTCTGCTCAATTGCAAACTGGAATTAAATTTAAGCAGGGTCATTTGTCCCTGGAACAATTGCTTTTGTTACCTTTACTAATGAAATATTGAATATTTTATCACCATATTTGTTATATTTGTTTGTATGACTATGTTGCTTATTTGTATTTGAAGCATTTCAACCATCCATACAAGCCAGTATTGCACATACCAGTATGTCTGTTCTCGTGTCATCTTACATAAATGTTCCTTGTATAAATTCTTTCTGTTTTACTTTACTGTGAGGTTCTCTTTCATTTTTATCAGCAATTGAATGCCATTGTTCATGATACAATCTCTCATAATACCACACACTAGAATTTGTGGGCTTTAAATACCTTTGAGAAGCATTGTCAGGAATAACAAACATATTTTTGATAATGAAGGAAATGACATACACAATGACCAGTACAACAAAATGTTTTGTCCTATTGAACAGATGGATGTGGATAACTACTGTTCATTGTTGAGATTCATCAGGAATATCCATGGAACAAAAGTAATAAGTCACACAAAGAAAGAAAGAAAGATGTACATTGAGCATCAGGCTAAGAGACAGGAAGAAAATGAAGTACAGAAGAGAACAGATCAAGGTGAGGGATGTGCTGCTTACAATTCAGGAAATAAAATGGAAATGAGCAGGACACGTCAGTAGAATCACAGATGTCAGATGAACTATAAGGCTGAATGAGTGGTCACCAAGATATGGACATAAAAAACAACTAAAATATAACCTAAGTCCCGCATAAAACAACCTAATAAAATTATCTATCATTGCCTGATGTGTATGAAATGGCAATTCTCCAGACACAAACAGTGACAATCTATCCATTGAAGTAATCAAAGCTGATAACCAGGGCAGGCTATGGAAGGTCAATGACAGCAATAAGCAATACAGAATTATAAAGATAATATTAAGTAGTAATTACATACTCTTATTCTTTTGTTAGATTTCTATATCATAACTATTTCAAAATCAATAACCTATTAATCACCCTAATCACCTACCTGTATCATTACCAGTGTATGTCCATATCTTTTGGGTGGATTTATAACTGTGCTGGGCTCTACTGCTTCCCAAAACTTGTTTACCATATCAAATCTGAAGTAGAGCAACAAAGAACAAGTAAGCTAAATCCGACATTTGTAGGGATATAATAAACAACAGTTTAAAAACATAGACTCTCAAAAGAATAAAAATATATGACCACTTTGAGCCTCTGAAAGTCTAGCCTCAGACTTCTACTGCAAATACAGGGACAAAAAAAAAGAAGCAAGTGAAGCAGAAAATAGCAATCATAACAGTGCACTAAATGATATCACATAATGTTTAAAAGCATGAAAAACAACCAATCACGTTTTACTATTAATGTGGACATTCAGAAAACGTAACTGGCACACCTTGAAAACAAAATTCAATTACAGCAATGTAAAGTTTACATTTCAAAGAAAAGAACTGAAAAGTTTCCTTTGCATAACAATAAAAAAATCAGCATTTATATGACAGAAATGGTCATGTTTATCCCAGTACTATATTTTATTACCAGTATCTATATATGAAGAGCCAAGACATCAACATACCTTGCTATCTGCTGAAATGTAGATCCACCAAAATGTTCTCCCCCAATCAACCACATGTGATCTCCATGTAACACAGTCCTATGAGAAGCTCTTCCATCTATGTGTACAGAGGTAGTGTACGCTACTTGTTCCCATGTGCCATTCTTCTCTGTTAAATTGCACCTTGGACCTGTGACAGCAATCATTTAATAATAAAACATCCAATCATTACATTTAAAATGATAAATTCAATAAAAGTAATTGGATGTGATATCAATTTGAGAAGTATGGTTTCCATAGTGGGCATAAAGCACTGTTTTACTTAATAATTAAATGTAATCTGTTGACATTTTCAAGACAACGACAACAAATATACATGGAAGGCACATGTTCATTTTTTTTTATCTACACCAAGAATGACTACTTAATTCAGATGAAAACAAACCTAAGAACCCCGTGTTACAATAGCATCCCCCTACAGTGTAGTTACAGCGTCCATATCTCCCACAATCATTGGGACATATCTCCTCAGAGCATGAGACACCTCTCCAGCCTTGGCTACAGTTACAGACATGCCCATTACAGCTTCCATGACCAGAGCAATTATTGGGACAACCTCCGATTCTGAAAGGAAAGGTAAAATAACACTTAAGAGTATGTGTATGCGTAAGTGTGCATTTTATTTCGTATTTGTATTTTATTTTGAACATTTTTGACAAGGGTGCACTGTGAAGATTATTACTGCTGTGCACATTATTGAGCCCAAAATGTAGCGGGTTCAATTAGATAATAATAATATATGACAAAATGAAATTAAAGAACAAAATGCTATTTCATTAGGCTGAAGAAGACATATGCTCATGATGAAACGACATTCAATTACAGCAAAATACAACAAAGATATTAATCCCCCCATAGGTCATGTTATCTATGCAAGTGCAATTCATAATAAAAATGACAGCAAGAGAATAAATCACATTTTATTTTTGGCAAAGACAATGCTTACTGATATGAAATATTGAATCCTGATATGTTGTAAGCTGCATCACTGAAGAAATAAAGAAAAGCTTTGCCCGACTTGGTTGTGACTTCTGGGACACTATGGCTCTGGTTTTTTAACGTCTCTTGTACAACCAATCCACTGTAAAAAGAAACACAATATATAATCATAATTTCATGGATGAATACGGTCGCCATATTGTGATGTTCTTCAGATACAAATCATACAAAGTTATATTAGAACATCAATATAAACACTTTTCATTATCAATGTCACATCAAAGGTATAGCACCATAACTACTTCAAGGATCCATTAAAATAACAATTACTTTTTTTTTAAGTCCACTCTTAAATTGTGCATTACCCAAGATCAGTCATATCCAATTAGAGAGCTAAAGAAAAAGCTTCACGGACCAAAGCGCCTTTATTTGATATTAACTGACACCATGTGCAGTGTAACAACCATCTCCACTCATCCAATCAATACAGGAGCACAGCCACTGTAGGCAGGTTATATATACACCCCCATTAAAATGGCAATACTTTCTGACTGGTAGAATTTAACTAGACATCCATGATAGCACATATATACAGGCATTCAACTGTAAACAACGGAATTCTAAGAAACGGACTCAATGACTTAGGGGCAAGATGGATGGGGAAGGATTTCTTAAACAAGGCAGCAAAGACGTCAAATAGACAGACAAATAAATGACAAAAGTAACGGAAGCATTATCATGAAAATGATGAAGAAGCAATTTAACAATGAAAGTGCATAAAATGGTTTAAGTCAGTGTTACAAGGGACAATCAAAGACTGACCAGCCAGTCTACCCATATATATCAAAGCAAACAAAGGAGGTGCCTGTATCAAGCTGGCATATTCCATTACTACACTTGCCGCTTTTTATAATTTAACATTAATTTGTTCAAAATAAGCTTGTGGGCTGAAATAAAAATCATAACTTGAAGAAAAACATTTAGTCATACTGTGGTTTCAAACTCAAACTGCAGTGTAGTGTGCAAGTTTAAGAAGAAATAACAGGTTCATCCTTTTATTTAGTTATAACGAGGAAAAAGTACACAGCAACTGTGATCCTAGGGCTGGGACTACCAATACACAACTGATAACATAAAGTCCAGATGCATAGTGTCTGTCCATAAAATTGCCCAGTAGAATACTGCATTAGCCCTTGACTAATAAATAGACTGAATTGGTTTTAACCTAAATATCAATGTTACATACTTTGAAGGCAGTCTCAGAGGCACAAATACAGATGAAAATGTAGATACAGTCCCTTTGAGGCAAGTTATTATGACAGAGCAACAGTGTTCTAAAAATGAGCATGTATCCCTGCAGGTCTTTAATTGCAAGTCTGCAACCACCTGGTTAAGTTTTAACCAGTGGAAGGAGCACTCTGGGCGTGCCTTTTTTTTTTTCACTGCAAAATTGTGCAAATGATTCACAATTAACAAAATAAAATTCTACAATCTTTTTTTACACGTGTGTTATTTTCTACACAATATAAACTAATCGTGTCAATATGATAGATAGTTCAATTATATATGGATGAGATGGATTATGTAATGTGACATTTAACAGTACTTCTAAGTATCCCTTCTACTTGCTAAAATTGAGATATATGCTATCCATTGCCCTGAATAACAGCTCACTGTGAATAATTTAGTTGGCAAGGCCTCATCATTGCAATATAATTCAATTGTCTTTGATTTTCTTCTGCTTCTTACAGTCACGTGAAGACATAAATAGTAAATCAATACCTACAGTAATGTGAAACAAGGCTAGTTGAAAGCCAACTTTTTATAGAAAAACACTGCTATCTTTCACTCTTTTCATACCAGAGTTGCATCTGGG